AAAATCCTCACAAAAGGTGACAATCGCATGAGCCGCGAGCTGCTGGAGTCATTGTTCTTAGGCCCCCCAGCCCATCAAAAAGCGCAGCGATTTGGCGTTCCCATACGACGTACTGCGACATTGCCTGAGCAAGAGAATCAGTCATGTGGGAATGGCCGAGCCCAGCAACAACGCTGGCAGTAGTGAGCAAAATTCTCGCGCAATTACCAAGCCCGCATCTGACACGGACAAGGAAATAGCGGCAATTAACGAGTCGAACGCGAAGTCTCAAGCCATCGCAGCAACACTTCAGACCCCAAGCGGAGGCTACAGGGGCGGATAATTAGAGTACGCACGCGGATGACCACTACGAACTATAAATACCTTGTAATTTGTGCATGTTTCACAACTATCTGCGCATGGCACGCACTATCCTACCATTACCTATGATTAAGGATTCTTGACGGAATCCGAAACGTCAGGAAAAATAAAAACTCTTGTTACAATGATCGCATCTCCTTCTTCTTCTTCTTCTGAATTGTTCGTCGTGAATAGTTGTGGTCATCAATGACCTGTGGGTTGCGACTGTGGTTGCACTGACGGTTTCGAGTAGGGTGTTTCGATTTTGGTAAAAGGGTTTCAGAAGAGGAATATTCTTTAAAGACAATGGTGGCTCAAGAGGTTTCAAGCCTTTTTGCCCACTCTTTCGCCTTTGACAACGGTGCTCCAGTCGTTCGTGTAGATTAATGCTCAAGTTATTTACTGCTAATTTGTATTTCAAACCGTCTTGGGCGAAGTGCTTCTAAGTTTCTGAGTCTTTTCGGAAGGTTTAAAAGTCTCTATCTCGTCTCGTGTGTAAACAAATGCATATTGCCGATAACGATAAGGCAGACTGGAATGACATATAAGCTGTCAGCAGTCAATCATATCCAAGTCCAGCTGAGACCCATAACCGAATGGTCAGCAACCATCAAAATTGTCAATTTATGTCGCAAGGAAATAGCAATTTGGGTAGATGATTTTAAGACTCTGTCTTCCTACTTCAACTTCACTGTTGTTCGAAAACAGCTGATGTCTTCCAAGTTGTTTCGTGTAGGGTTTCCATATATCCAGCCCATAAATGAGGCTCATTTTACTACTCCTACAACCACCCTATATTCTCAAGTTTTGTTTCGAGTTAGAGTGTGTGAAGATTCGGAGATGAAACCTTCAGCAAGTTGATGACCTGGCTGCCCCTTGAGATCATACGCATCATGGGGTCGTCCATCTTTAAACCGGTTATAATTTGAAATGCTTATCGTCGTACAGACAAGCTGACGTGCACAGATTCAAACAACAAACTAGCTTATTTGACTGTTTCGGGTAACTGTTTCACTCAAGCTAACATGCCCACTTTGGACGCAAATCCCCTAAAATTTCGTCCGCGCCAAGCAAAGTCCAATGGACGCTAGTATTTATTCAGTAACGAAGTTGATACAGCGTGTGACGCACTGACCGAAGAAGGTGTTTTTTTCACCTGTGTGAGTTCATTGAAGAACGACCTAGACTTACATCAAGCTTCTCACTTACCAGGTAAACGCCAGCCTATGGAAGCAGGCCAAAACGTGCATTTATACTACTTTTAATAACTAAGTAGTTGTAGATCTTTATAACTTTGGACAAACTGATGGCTGCCCGCTTTTCGCCTGCCATCACGTCGATGACCACTTTTTAATTTTCTCTTTTGTCTCGATGTTTTTCTAGCCACTTTGTAAGTGATAGGGGCTCGTAAGGCACCCGCGTATTAATAAGATGAACCAAGTGAACCAGCAGGATGTTTTTAAAAGGAAACGTGGAACCAACCCAAATACGTCCTATATCATCAGTGCACTTTTGCTGTCGCGACAGAAGCTAACTTATGCTATTGAAAGTATTCACGCAGGCGTGTGTGACTAAAATCTACCTAGAAGAGCTTTTTCTCCATCAGTTATCCAGAAAGTACACACAGGTTGGATTCTGCCAATTCCTCATCATTCTGTTGGTTTGGCTTCTAAACGCACGTCTATGAAACACTTGGTAGGGGTTGATATAAGAGAGGAATGAGTCTACGTGATACGGTAGTTTTAGGCAAAACTTTGAATGTTGTGGAAAAGGGTATATTTCGTTACCTTTTAATTCTTGCAAATCATTGGGTTATCTTACTGCCGAACAAAATACATAGGTAGGCATATAATCTGGGAACGATGACGATATGGGTTTGGCAGTTTAGCCGACATTATAATCCAGTTAAACTTTAAAATAGACAAAAAATTTGCTGATCACATTCCTATTGAGGTCGCACACACTTTCCACTCTGAACTAAGGGCTGCAAAGTCTTCTCGTACTATGCGCCAAAGGTTGCTTCATATGTTGTACCATACATCGTCACATAAGCACTCTTTACTCTCATTTCTAGCATGCTACCTCACGTGTGAAGGAGCGGAAATTAAGAATTCGAAACTGGGATCGGTCTTAATGATCTGTTGTCATCCTTGCTTTCACCTTCAATGTTGAACGGCATCGCGGGCTGGTATTTGTCCACCTGGAAGACCTATCCACTGCTGTAAGTTGTCGCATTTTGATTTTTTTTTAAATGGCGCGCCCGCCGTTTACCTTCTGTTGATTTATTTAAGCAAGCCGCTGTCGTATTTTCGTATAACAGGAGCGCTTGCCTTTCATTCGCTTAGTGTGCCCATGGCTTCGATCACCGCATAGTAGTTTGATCAATGTTGTTGTTTCGTGGATATAAAGATGACAAGGAAGACAAGGCTCCGTTGCTTACAAATATCCGGTGGAAACCAGCTTACTTGACTGGAGACAACGGACTCACTGGTAACCGCAATTTCAAAGCGATTCACCGGCGACAAAACCCAAGGGCCCTGTGAGCGTGCACCAACTAGGCAACGTGAAGGTTGCCTTTGCATCCCCATGAGGACACACCACTAAAGTGCACTGCGACTCCATTGATCAAAATCAAACTTCTCAATGCGGGCAGTTGTTGAGTCATGCGTACTCCTGCTCTTGGTCATCAGAAGCGGTTAACGAGAAAATGCTAACCGTTAAGCAGAAACCGTAATTTTTAATTTTCACTCAGTTCACAAGGCAGGCATTTGTGAGATTATCTAGAGATATCGAAATAACGCCTAGAAAAGTGATTCCTCGGTTCTTCTGCAAGCCTACCTACGGTTTGTTTCAACTAGCATTTTCAAAATGTTTATTTGACAGCCAAAATGTCATTGTGATCTTCTAGGCTTAGAGAATAACCGCACAATCATTCTTCGATAGACCCTAGCCCTACATCTTTCCACTGGATTTATTATCAGGTGATTAGTGTCGTTCAATGGATTGCTACCAGTTAGTGCGGTTGCACAAATGGACTGTTCGACGATAGCTCATAAATCTGAAATTGCCACTGCAGTCTCCCAGGTCTTTGTCGGTAATATATTTCTGCCTATGATTTTTGCTACTCGTTGAGCGGTTGCCGACAGTACGCGAGAGAGAAGCAAAGCGAAAGTCGGGACGAGGGAATTGTATACCGATTGGTGAGTACCCAAACGAAACCACAAACCAGCAACGAGCCCGTGACTAAGTGGTTAGGGTGTTGGAATTCTTTATAAAAAGTCACGGGCTCAAACCTCGATTTTTGCTACCCTGGGTTTGGGTAAGGCTGGCTAATTACGGCTAGTAAACCAATAGTAGACAATTCAGTCTACCTTGTCTTTGTCGGTACTGTACATCTGCCCCTCTGTATAAATAGGCATTTTGCAGTTACTTTTACTTTTCTCATTATTGAGTTTCCATATGAAAGCAAACTCTCCAGTGCGGTTCCGCAGATGTTTTTGGACTACTATTTAAATAGGGTCCTACATTTCACTAATTGAAAACGATAACACAAGCCTGGGCAGAGGAACATAGTGCGTACAATGCATGACTGCCTGCCTAACTGTATGGTTAGAGGTACGCCCACGGATGTGGCCAACTTCAGCTTTATCTTCAGACGCAACCTGAAATGGACTCAAACTCAACGATATATTGTCCTTGCTTTCGCCTTCAATGTGGTTGGTCATCAGGAACTGTGATCTGTTCACCCTCAGTTTTTACGTTTCTTGGGAATTTTGAATCGCGAGCACGCCTTCCAACTTCCATTGGTAGATTTAAACAAGCTTATATCGTAAATGTAATTTTTCGCTCCCGCATAACAGGTGCCATTGTCTTTGATGTTTGAAGTCTGCTCAAATTGCAGATCATCGCAAAGTAAGTTGTTCGATATTGTGATTTCATAGGTCTAGAGTTGGCAGGGAGAAAAACGCTTTGCTGATTACTACGATTCGGCAGAAGCCAGGTTACATGATTTGAGAGAACGGACACCACAATGCCAAATCGGTGCACAGTCTTCAAAGCCTAAGGCTTTAACTCTTCCGAAAGTATGAATCAACACGACATCGCAAATGTCACCTTTGAACTATCCTCTCCATTGGTGTGAGGACACATCACTAAAGTGCGCTGCGACTAGATTGTGTAAAACCAGACTTTGCAACGCGAGCACTTGTGAAATTGTGCGTAATCCTGCTCTTGGTCAGCAGGACCGGTTAGCAAGACCGAGTTTGCTAAAGAGAGGAAGCATATGGTTTGCATTTTTCGCCGTGTTGCGATCATCGGCCTTAAGTCTAGCGAGGGACATACGAGGAATGTTAATAACCAAAATAATTGCAGATTACTTATTGCCTACTGACAATCTTGTCCCCTAAGAGAGCTTAAAGCAAAACTCCGTCACACGGAGATGAGTGGAAATTACTTCCGCATGAATGCCGTAGTGACAAGGGTATAACTTTAGAAACCGCGCTTTTTGAACAGGAATTCAACACGGATTTCTTTCAGGGCTTTGACTAGCATGGGACAAGCAACCAGCAACCAAAATGCATGGAGAATAGTTAAACCTTTCTAATTATTTGTTAGTCATCATCACTAGAATCATCACTCCAGGAAAAAACGGAATTACGGAAGGTTTCCTATCTCAGGAGAGGTCAGCTGCAATTTTCAAACGTATTATTTTGGCAAGCGTGTATTTTCTTTAGATAAATGATCTTCAGGCCTGCATATGTATTTCGCAATAAATTTAAAAAAATTAATAAAAATAAAATACGCGGGTTGGTAGAAACATTCGTGAGGTAGTCTATGTCGGAGGGTCAGAATTAGGGTCAATAGTCTGATCAGCATCAGAAATTGTTAGTCACCGGGAAAGATAATAGAATGCGGGCAATTGAATTAGCGGCCTTCGGCTGCTACTCGAGTACATCTCTCCTATGCGGAGGGATCAAAACCAACCGCCAGCCTAGACCACCTCTATTTGGACCTATACATTCACCGTGGGGCAGAATATATTGTTTGCCTGAGTCGGTGCTT